CCAGGACTCTGCCTCATGCTTTGTGGGGAAGCCTAGGTCAGAACATCAGCGGTTAAAGACTCTGAGCTTGTCAACTGGGAAAGCTGGCAGCCAGATGAAGAGGACAGCTAAAAAAATCAGGGTCGACTTGGGAGTAAAGTCACAGGTGAAAGGTGATTGGCCCCTCCCATAGGAGATAAAAGAGGAGCAAAAGGGGAGGGGGATTTTGCAGGAAACAATTCTTTCGTTCAGTCATTAGATTCGTTTCAGGAGTGTGAAGATCTGTCCGTGAATCTCAGAGACTCTGTGCCCAAGTCTTTCCTTGCACAGCACCTCATTTGGAAAATATTGACGTGGCAGCTTTCCAAACTAGATGGGGTCTGTGGTCATAACTTCACCTTTGAAAGACTGTTTACCAAGCCACATCCTCTACCCTTTCTCTTGCAGGCACCTGAACGACATCGAGTTGGGTGCATCGTCCGTCTGGATCCGCATCGCCTTGGGAGCTGCCGTGGCCACCATCGTGGGAATCAGCCTCTACAAGGCAATGATGAAGAACAAGTAGAGGACAGCGAGGAATCTCTCTTTTCTTTTCCTCCCTGCTCTAGGTTGTTTCTTCCACCCATGTCCAGGAAACCCAACTTCATTTGCCCTCGAGCACTTTGCAAAAACCCAAAAAGAAAGCGTGCCAGGGGAAGACAGAAGGACGTCTGAAGGACATTCTGCCCGGAGGGGCGGGTGGGCATAGCAGATGGGAGTGGATGACCATCGTTGCACCAGCATCATCAGAAATCATCGCAGTCACCTAACTGGCATGGGCAAGATTTGCATTTTTCTCACTCAGGGAATGCCCCCAAATCCTGCAAGCCATAGCATTAGATACCTTCTGGGCCGCGCAGCTCCTACAAATATCTTCGCTTCCCCCCTCCCCAGTTGTCGTTTTTTTTTTTAACCCCTTTTGGCTGTTTCTCGGAAGCTGAAGCTCCTGCAGTCCAGTCAATGTTTTTAAATAGACGTGTCTTGGGGAGAGCCGAGACTGTTGGCCCTCTGGGGTTGCCTCTGTTTGGACCTCCTGCTTCATCTGCTTGGATGTCTCTGAGCTCCTCTTGGGGGTGGGTGGGGGAACTACGAAGGTTTCTGGGTCTTTCTGAACCCTTTTTCTCAGAAGGAATTTCGCCCAGGCCCTCTTCTTGCAGTTGACTCAAACACTGAACAAAGGAACCTCCATGGATGTGGAAGGATGGAGAACCTGAGATTCTCGCTCTTGATCAAGTCGTGAAACTCGTTGCACGCTCATGCTAAGGCACCGGTGTGGTTTCGGGGGCAGCTCGGAAACTCCTGTCTGTCACTTTTACTCATTAGCTCAAGATTTGGGGGGGCAAGGGAAGTTGCCTGCTCCAGCAACAGTGGAGGAAGCAACTAGGACCTGCCTCCCTCCACAAGTATTCTTGGATCCATTATAGGAGCACCCACTCTTCATGTATTCAGCAATCCAGCACATGGAAAAGTCATAGGTGATGGGGTATGTTTCCCCTTGCCACTTCTTTTTCCCACGCTCCAGGAAACCAATAATCTGCACATTTCTTCCTATAGTTTAGATCCTTGCTTGGGGATAGGAGAGGAGGGGGGGCGGATATCCAACAGCCCCCCCCCCCCCCCCTCTCTGCCGATGGATCTCTGCCGTGGTGGTCTAGCAGGCTAGGTCTCCCTCTCAGAGCCATCTTCCAAACTTTTTTAACTCTTCAATCTTTGGCTCGAAAACTGATCTGGATAAATAACGTTCTCAATTCAAGAGGAGAAGAAAGAAAAAAAAGAACCCAGATCTTATGCCGTCCCATCAACATCTCAGAAAGGAATTATAAAAAAGAAAGTTTGGAGTTGCTTTTTTTTTAACTTCACAGTTCTTGCACGCTTCAGTCCTTTTTTTTTATTATTTTTTATTGGTGATACAGGTTTTTTCTTCTTCTGAGTTTCTTCTCTGCACTTGCAAGCTGGGAGTCTCCATCCTCAACCATACTGTTGTTGTTGGCAACCCTACTTGGTTGGGGCTGTGTAAAGTCCAGGGTTTCCCCTCATTAGATTCCTTCTGCAGGCCAGAAATGCAAAGGGGGCGGGGGGGGAGAGCGAAGGGAATGTGCTGCCTCTGAGGCCCGGTTCCCAATGGTCCAAGGCCCAGTAGGGGGCAGCATCCCCGGGGATTGGGGACCCATGTATTAAGGCAGTGGTCTCCAAGCTTGGCAACTTTAAGACTTGTGGACTTCAACTCCCAGAGTTCCTCAGCCAGCAAAGCT